ATTGATTCAAAGAGGCATGTGATACAAAGCTCCACAATAGTTCTAAGGAAAGTTTGACCTAATGGAATAAAAGCAGAAGAAGCAACATGGATGCAGAGTTGGATGAGTGACTGGAAACATTTGTGGTGTTTTGATAATTTTTGGACTGGGAGAAGATGTGTACTGGAGTTTCTCAAACCTGGCACCCCTGCTCTTCCTTATATATGGTCTAGACCTTGGTATACATGCGACAATTTCCAAATTCACAAATGATACAAAACACGGAAGGGTTTCAACAAAAAATGGCTGGAGAGATGAGTAACTTCAGTTCCCTTCATAAATTGGAGAGGTTGCGGCTGTTGTAATCTCCTTGGATAAGTGAATGTTGAGAGATATGATAGTAAATTGTGAACCAGAGGAGGACAATAATTGACAAAAGAAGTGGTCACGTTGAGTGAAAGTCTTTCTCCATAAGTCGTTAGGATCTGGAGTACACCACCAACAGGGAATTGGATTCTTAAACGAAAAGGAATAATACACAGGACTGTTAGGAGCAGGGCCTACAGAGCCAGCACTTTGACAATGGCCAGAATAACTAACTTCTTTGCTACAGTAGTTTTGTGATTTGGAGAGGTAGAAACAAATGATCTTAATGCTGTTACAGATACGTAGTTAGTAATTCATCTTGGTCTCAACAGTTGGCTCAGCCTTTGGAAGAGATGAAATTGGGAATTTAATAGCTGTCTTCTTAATATTTAAATGCAGGAAGCTTTTGTGCACCCAGTACAAATATTGACCAGAGTTTCAAGACATTTGAAGGGGTTAAAGGAAGTAATGGTGAAACTGACAGAATAAATGACCGTAGATGCAAAACCTAATTTAAACTTAGTTTGCAACATCTGCCCTTGGAACTGCCTAAGCTGAGTTACAAAGGAAATTAAATCCAGCATGTTAGTGCATGGCTGGCGTTTCTTCCGTGGACACAATTCAGAACTTGGATCAAAATGCCCCCATTGTTGATACCTGTTTTGCCAAATGTCAAGCTGCTCCCAAATAGCTTACAATTTCATTAGCTACACAGAAATTTAAAATGAACTTAAACCAGTTTGAACAATGTAACCCCAAGGAACGCATTGAATCTTCTGTTTATTTTCCTTTAATTATGAAAGTTGAAGTTTCACCTCCTTTTAATCAATTGTGCTCGATGGGCGGGCAGAAATAGGTCATGTTCTGATGTTGGTACATGTAATTCAGGATAAAGTAAATACTAACTGCATAACACTGAAGTATTGAAATACTGAGTTAACTTTTTAGTCATTTGATACAAATGCATTGGTATACTGTCTTGATCATAAGTTATAATCAAACTGACCATCAATATTTCTGACCACCTTGAAGACTAATATTTCAACCCATTTGAAGTGACCTCAGCATTTGCTACAGTTTTTTAAACCTGTTATAATACATGATTACTTGGTCTGCATGTTCTAATCCATGAATACTTGGTCTGTACAATTTTCAGACACTATGTCTTTTGCTACTTTTAATAATTCCTGTCTCCATAGATGCTATTTCTAGGTCTTTCTGTTTCAACTTTCTAGCATCTGCAGTATTTTCTCTCCCATTAGATGGCAGCATTTGGATAGCCCAGTGAGCTCTTGCAACTGGTAGAATGATGTATTAATGGTTTGCATGATTATAACGTGCTATAGTTGTGAAAAACAATTTGTTATAGGAATCTGACAGGAAATTAATTTATGTGCTAAGCTTCCTTCAAACAGGAACTAACATGAGATGTAGTTTGCAGTGATTCTTTGGAGAAACCAGAACAACACCCAAATACTGCTTTGTATATTAAGCATTTGTGGTTTTCTGTGTATTTTTTATGGGGATCAGGGACAAAAAATCAATTGCCTTAATAGTCTTAATATATTACTATATGCTTTAAGTCTTTTTATTAAGTTGAGTGAAAAGTTTCAAATTAATTATGCATGGTATTCCATATTGCTGATGAGGGTAGATTAAGATTGTGGTTTAATCACCCACATCATTGAAGCACTGTTTGATCCTGCTGTACACTAGGGAAGATGCAGGCTGTTTCTAATCTTCCTGTAATGTAAAGATTTCTCCTCACCACAACTGCCACCCTACCACCGACTGTCTGCCTTTCCACGAAAACTGTAACCTTAAAAATGCAAAACAAATTAACTGAACAAAGTTTTTAAAAAAAAAAACCCAAGGGGTGATGGTTTACCTATTGCAGCCAGAAACCAGAGGGGTGCTGAAATAATGTAGAAGAAACAAGAACCAAACAAAAGTTCTGAAGTGCCTGTGGAAGCTAATGAAGGAACTTCAATCTAATGCCCACACCTTGGTACTGTACCTAACTTTCCTGGATGGGTACATCCAACAAGCAATGTGGCTTTGTCTTCAACTATCCAACTCCTTTTTCCCTTCCTTCTCTGCACTCTCCTCCAAATGTGAGAAGCCCACAGGTATCTTTGCACTAGAATTGAAACTGGCAGTTAATGACCTCCAGCATGTCCGGTACTCAGTACCTGGGAGAGGTGAGTGAATTTTACTCCACCCCCCCCCAAATGCCAAGGTAAATTTGATCACAAGAAATGTTGCCCTCCTGTAAACAAAATAGATAGAATTGAGGGTGAGGGTGTTGGGGGGGGTACTGGGGGGGGGGCAGTGGCATTTGTGGAAGGAAGAAGCTTCCAAGAGAAGTGGGATAATGTGACAGAAGAGAGGGAAACTGGAACCGCAGAGGTGATGGTTGACAACACAGAGTAAATAACTGCATCATCTATTAAATGATTTAGTGAGGATAAAAAGGGAGCACCTGAAAACCAAAATGTACCCCTCGAGGAAATCTCAAAGCCCTTGTGTTTTGGGAATGGGGGACATGATTCTGACCCTCTCCCTGTCCTTTTAACCTGCCAGTCCAGATTCCCTAAGCTTATCCTGTCCCCAAGCCTTGAACTTGTAGACCGAGAATCTACTGCAGTGGTAACAGTGTGCAGTTGGAGGAACACAGCAGGCCAGGCAGCATCAGAGGAGCAGGAAAGCTGACGTTTTGGGCCGGGAGCCGCTGTGAACAATAAGAATTGTGAACAATTTAAGCTGTGAACAATAAGATGAGTTTGAAAATTTTATCACTTTAGCAGAGTTAAAATGTAAAATTCAGCTGGTCCAGCAGCATCTGACGAGAGAAAGTTAACGTTTCAGTTGATGCTTTTAGCAGTGACATCATGCTTGCATTTTAAAAGGTTTAAAATCATTATATTTTAATGAGTTTATTTTATGTCTTTTAACAAAGAATTATCTTTGCTTTCTAGAATCTAATCTAGACCGCTGTGGATTCAGGGGATCTTCACACCTGGGAATCCCTTATAATCAATCAAAGGTTAGTTGAACTCCTGAAGTGTTTCGGTATGAAGCCAGTACTTTTCTCAATAGTGACTATGCCAAAGGTCAGAATAGGGTTACTAGAATATTCCTCATAAGGACCTAGAAGTAATTTCAAGTTGCATTCAACAGGTCTGTTTCTAAGTTTGCAGACTTTGCTATAAATTTTGTACTAATGTAGTTTCTTAGAATTTTGCCTTTATTAATATCTAATCTTAGATTCCTAAATGCAGTTCTTTCTCATTGTTTTCATGAGATGTTTTACTCAGTACTTGTGCAACTGAAAATGGTTAAAATCTGGTGATGAGTAAGGTCTATCACTTAATCATCCCAGTTGATTAAACTCGCCTGTATTGGTAAATGTCAGAAGGTGAATTTGGGGACCTTTTTGTCCTTGGAAGTTAAAATTGTGATGTTCCCAATTTAATTATTGCTGTGTTTGTATGAGGAAGAATTAAAGTGAATTATGTGGAGATTTCTTTATTGTTTAGAAATCTTAGCATTCCATGCAAGTCACGTGAAGTTGTATAAATCACTAGTAACATGCAAAACTTCAACTTGTGTTGACCCTTAAATGTAAGGAAGTACACCAAGGCATTTCATGGGTGTGTCTGAGAGCCACATAAGGTGATATTCAAGCAGATGGTTAAGAGCTTAATCAGAGGTAAGTTCTCAAGAACATTTTTGGAAAAAGAAAGATTTTAGAGAGACAGTGGGGTTAAGTGAGAGAATTCTGGACCTGCTGAGCAATTTAAAATTGATGTTGCTCAAAGTTAGGTGAGTGCAGAAATGCTGTTAAATTTACAGGGCTGGAGATCAGAGGTAGTGGACACAAAGATGTGGAGGGACCTTTAAAACCAAGAATGAAAGCTTTTAAATTGAGGGACAGCCTGACTGGATTCCAGCATAAGTTGGTGGGTGAGCGATTTTGGGCAGCAGGGCTTTTTGATATCCTCTCTCATGATGCGTGCATCACTGGCTAGAGTAAGTACTGTTCCCATCGCTAATTGCCTTTGAGAAGGTCTTGTGGTGGGCTGCTGCCTTGAACCAGTGAAGTTCATGTGATGTAGCTGCATATGCATTGCTGAAGGAGACAGCTTCAGTATTTTGACCCAGCAGCAGTGAAGAAATGGTGACTTCATTTCAGATCCGGATGATCAGTCGCTCAGAGGGAAAACTTGCAAATTGTATTGCTGTGCATCTGCTGCCCTTGCCCTTCTAGGTGTTAGGGAGGTGGATATAGGCAGTATTAGTGAAGCAGTGGATATGTGATTTAGAAATGCTTCTTCATACCAAATATGATACCAAGATTGCAAACAGCCTGGTTTAGTCTAAATACTTTTGAATGAATGGAATTGGTATCAAGGAACAGTGTTTGTAATCCAAACTCTTCAGTCTTATGAACATTTAATTGAAGGAATTCTCTATTGAGTACTGGATGTCAGACAAGCTGTCTGATCATTTCATTAGAGTAGATGAGTCTGGAGAGGTTGCAGTGAAGTGGATCTGGATATTATCAAAATCTGAAAACCACTGTTAAAGGTGGTATTCCAACTACTGTTCGATAGACAAGAATGAGGCTCCTCTCAGTTGAATTATAGTTAAAGACCTCGTTTACGCAACATTGCCAGTTCAGGAAAGGTGATAGTTTACCTTTGTCGTGGTCACGTTAGCTGTGATTTTAACAGGAGCTGTCTTGATGCAGTAGTGAAGGTGGAAATGTGATTGGAATTATTCAAACACGAAGTCCCAGGAGATGGTAACTGATTTGGGAGGCAACAACATCTTCAAATACTATGGAGAGGTTGAAGGTGTGATCATTTTCAAGGACAGCAGCATCAGGGATAACCTTTATTGACCTGAAGAGCTATATTTAAAAACAAAAAGCATGCTAACTTGTTTCTGTTGAAATGCTTCCTATCATTTTGGATACAAGAAAGAAGACAGTGGGTATGATTTCAAACTTGTAACTTCTAATCTTCAAGATTTAGATGATTACTTCCTCTCCCATTCTCTGTTTTTACACTCCTGTCTCACGAAAGAAAGGACCATTTCAATCACTGAATATTTGGTCTCTTTGCAACCTATGAGCAAATCAAATAAGATACTCACCAAAGTGTTACAGATTCTGAAACTCTTGGTGGAGGTGGGCACTGAAAATGTTTAGCAAGTCTGTCTGTATCTGTTAACACAAACACCAATAATATTTCGGACTTTAAAGGGCTACTGACCTGAAATCTTAATTGTGATGTGGAGGTGGTAGTGTTGGACAGAAGTGGGCAAAGCCAGAACTCAGACGACACCAGGTTATAGTCCAACAAGTTTATTTGCAACCACAAGCTTTTGAAGCCTTGCTCCTTTGTCAGGTGAAGTGAGAGAGAAGCACATGAACAGAATTTATGGGCAGAGAAATCAAAAGGTCATACAAATGGTGTGAGTGGAGTGTTGAATAATAAGTCTCTGCAGGTGATCGAGTGTCAACAGCTGAATATCAAGCAAAGTGACGGCCTATGATCCAATTAACTGAGGCAGAGAGATAATACAAAAAATTAAAAATAAGTTGATGCTGGAGACAAACCAAATTACTGGAATGACATGATAGGTATAAGAGTTGCATGCTGAGGGTCTAACCAAAGTAATAAGTAACCCAAAACTGTACAGATTATGGTAGAGAGATCATAACAAGTTATCAAGATGATGGTGTCAAAACAGTACAGCAAGGAAGATTTTACAAATACAGAACATTGTGGTGGGGTTACATGTAGCGCAACATGAACCCAAGATCACTGTTGAGGCCCTTCATCATGGGTATAGAACTTGGCTACCAGTTTCTGCTTGGCGATTCTGCGTTGATGTGTCTCTCAAAGACCGCCTTGGAGGATGCTTACCAAAGATCGGAGGCTGAATGTCCTTGACCGATGAAGTGTTCCCAGACTTGGACGGAATATTCCTGTCTGCCGATTGTTGCTCGTTGTCCATTCATCTGTTGTCGTAGCATCTGCATGGTCTCGCCAATATACCGTGCCTCGGTATACCTGCATCTTTACCTGCAGTTTATGAGATAGACAACATTGGCCAAGTCACATTAGTATCTGCTGTGTATGTGGCGGGTGGTGTTCCCATGTGTGATGGTAGTGCCCATGTCGATGATTTGACATGTTCTGCAGAGGTTTCCATGGCAGGGTTTGTGGTGTTGTAGTCAATGTTGTCCTGAAGGCTGGCTAGTTTATTGCGAACGATGGTCTGTTTAAGGTTTGGCAGATGTTTAGAGGCAAGGTGTGGAGGTATAGGGATGATCTTGGCAAGATGCTCTTCGATGACACGTTGAAGGCTGCAAAGAATATGGCGTAGTCTCTCTGCTCTGGGGAAGTACTCGACAACGGGAGGGTACTCTTTCAGTCGTATCCTGCCTCCCTCTTCTGAGGAGGTTGTTGCAATTTTTCACTGTGGCACGTTGGAACTGGCAATCGAGTTGAGCGTTGTATCACGTTCTTATGAGGGCGTCCTCCAAAATCTTTAGGTGTCCATCAATTCCTTCTCGTGTGAGCAGATCCTGTGCATGCATAGCACATCTCCATATGGATGGCTTTTTTAACCTGTCTATGGTGAAAGCTAGAGAAGTGCAGCGTCAAGAGGTTATCTGTGGGCTCGCGGTAGAGTGAGATACTAAGGTGTCCATCCTTGATGGAGATGCGTATGTCTGACAATGAGGTTGGACTGCTCTTCAGAATCATGGTACGTCTGATGGTGGGATGAAACTTGTTGGTATCATTGAGTAATCATTTCAGTGATCCTTCGCCATGAGCCCAAAGGAAGAAAATGTCGGCGTTGATTGGAGGTGCTGTGCAGCAAAGAAGCCAAACCCTAAAAAGACCATCTTTTGCAACAAACTATCCAGTCTTCAGGACAACATTGACCACAGCACCACGCAACCCTGCCACGACAACCTCTGCAAAATATGTCAGTACTGTGACATGGACACTACCATCACCTGGGTACACCACCCACCATGTACACAGATACTCGTGTGACTAGGCCAATGTTGTCTGTTTCATAGGCTGTAGGCAAGGATGCCCTGAGTTATATTGGTGAGACCATGCAGACGCTACAACGACGGATGAATGGACACCATGCAACAATCGCCAGACAGGAATGTTCCCTCCCAATCGGGGAATACTTGAGGTCAAGGACATTCAGCTTCTGATCTTCAAGTAAGTGTCCTCCAAGGCGGCCTTCAAGATACACATCAACACAGAATCGCCAAGTCCTGTACCCATGAAGGTGGCCCCAACCGTGATCTTGGGTTCATGTCATGCTGCATGTGACCCCACCACACTGTTCTGTCTGTAAGACCTTCCTTACTGTCCTGTTTTGACACCATCACCTTGATGATAGATTGTTCCCTCTACCTTTAATTAGTCTGTGCAGTTTTGGATTTTTTGTTACTTTGATTAGACCCTCTGCATACCTATCATGTTATTCCAGTCATTTGGTTTGTCTCCAGCACCACCTTATTTTTAATTTTTGTAATTATCTCTCTGCCTTATTTAATCAGATTATAGATCGCTTGTTATTCAGCTGTTGTCACTTTACTCAGGCCGTCTGACACTTTTGATCACCTACAGAGACTTATTATTCAGCCTATTTGTATGATCTTCTGATCTCTCTGCCTATAAATTCTGTGTCTATGTGCTTCTCTCCACCTGTCAAAGGAGCTAGGCTCTGAAAGCTTGCCATTTCAAATAAACCTGTTGAACCATAACCTAGTGTCACCTGACTTCTGAAACGTTATCTCAGCTTTTCTCTCCAGAATAGTTATCCATGGTGCCATATGGCTACTGCATAGATGTGACAGGTGACATCACCTGGCCACAACAGGGCAAGTCGTAGCAAGTGTCAGTAATGTGACTGCATTCCATGCACGGTGAAGTCATTCAGTGCCTGTGCTGCGAGGCTGGGTGAAGGGGAGATTGTCTGCTTTGGGAGGGCTGCCACGTTGGGGTTGGGTGTTTTGCTACAATGAGTGAGCCAATTTTGTACTTGGAGTGGTTGGAAGGGTGGGGAAAGATTGAGGTGAGTGGGGGACTGCTAAGAGAAAATAAACTTTAACTTGTTAGGTTACGTTGTGTAGGCTACATTTTGCATCCTGCAGTGCCATCTTTAGGCAGTAAGTTGCTTCAGCTGCTTGAGACCCATGTTAGAGATAGTAGGAACTGCAGATGCTGGAGAATCCGAGACAACAAGGTGCAGGGCTGGATGAACACAGCAGGCCAAGCAGCATCATAGGAGCAGAGAGGCTGACGTTTCGGGCCTAGACCCTTCATCAGAAAAGGGGGAGGGGAAGGGGGTTTTGAAATAAATAGGGAGAGAGTGGGAGGCGGATAGAAGAGGGATAGAGGAGAGGATAGGTGGAGAAGAAACAAACAGGTCGAAGAGGCGGGGATGGGGCCAGGAAAGGTGAGTGTAGGTAGGGAGTTAGGAAGGGGATAGGTCAGTCCAGGGAGGACGGACAGGTCAAGGGGGCGGGATGAGGTTGGTCGGTAGGAGATGGAGGTGCGGCTTGAGGTGGGAGGAGGGGATAGGTGGGAGGAAGAACAGGTTAGGGAGGCAGGGACGAGCTGGACTGGTTTTGGGATGCGGTGGGGGGAGTGGAGATTTTGAAACTTGTGAAATCCACATTGATACCATTGGGCTGCAGGGTTCCCAAGCGGAATATGAGTTGCTGTTCCTGCAACCTTCGGGTGGCATCGTTGTGGCACTGCAGGAGGCCCAGGATGGACATGTCGTCTGAGGAATGGGAGGGGGAGTTGAAATGGTTCGCGACTGGGAGGTGCAGTTGTTTGTTGCGAACCGAGCGTAGGTGTTCTGCAAAGCGGTCCCCGAGTCTCCGCTTGGTTTCCCCGATGTAGAGGAAGCCACACCGGGTACAGCGGATGCAGTATACCACATTGGCAGATGTGCAGGTGAACATCTGCTTGATGTGGAAAGTCTTCTTGGGGCCTGGGATGGGGGTGAGGGAGGAGGTATGGGGGCAGGTGTAGCACTTCCTGCGGTTGCAGGGAAAAGTGCCGGGTGTGGTGGAGCTGGAGGGGAGTGTGGAGCGGACGAGGGAGTCACGGAGAGAGTTGTCCCTCCGGAAAGCAGATAAAAAGGTGGGGAGGGAAAGATGTCTTTGGTGGTGGGGTCGGATTGCAGATGGCGGAAGTGTCGGAGGATGATGCGTTGGAAGTGCTACACCTGCCCCCATACCTCCTCCCTCACCCCCATCCCAGGCCCCAAGAAGACTTTCCACATCAAGCAGATGTTCACCTGCACATCTGCCAATGTGGTATACTGCATCCGCTGTACCCGGTGTGGCTTCCTCTACATCGGGGAAACCAAGCGGAGACTCGGGGACCGCTCTGCAGAACACCTACGCTCGGTTCGCAACAAACAACTGCACCTCCCAGTCGCGAACCATTTCAACTCCCCCTCCCATTCCTCAGACGACATGTCCATCCTGGGCCTCCTGCAGTGCCACAACGATGCCACCCGAAGGTTGCAGGAACAGCAACTCATATTCCGCTTGGGAACCCTGCAGCCCAATGGTATCAATGTGGATTTCACAAGTTTCAAAATCTCCACTCCCCCCACCGCATCCCAAAACCAGTCCAGCTCGTCCCTGCCTCCCTAACCTGTTCTTCCTCCCACCTATCCCCTCCTCCCACCTCAAGCCGCACCTCCATCTCCTACCGACCAACCTCATCCCGCCCCCTTGACCTGTCCGTCCTCCCTGGACTGACCTATCCCCTTCCTAACTCCCTACCTACACTCACCTTTCCTGGCCCCATCCCCGCCTCTTCGACCTGTTTGTTTCTTCTCCACCTATCCTCTCCTCTATCCCTCTTCTATCCGCCTCCCACTCTCTCCCTATTTATTTCAAAACCCCCTTCCCCTCCCCCTTTTCTGATGAAGGGTCTAGGCCCGAAACGTCAGCCTCTCTGCTCCTATGATGCTGCTTGGCCTGCTGTGTTCATCCAGCCCTGCACCTTGTTGTCTGAGAACCATGTTAGTTTTCTTTTTGCTGGTGGTATTTTTAAAAAAAACCCAACTTGTTCTTTTTGCATGCTGCCAAATTTGTTGAATAATTCAGCGTCTTTTGTACCATATTGTCTAACGGATGCTTTTTAATATTCTATAGGATAATGGTTCACATCATTTATATGATAGTGGTCACATAGCCATGACATATACTGGTTTAGCTAGCCTAGTGATCCTCGGAGATGATCTGAAACGGGTAAATAAGGAAGCATGTCTGGCAGGGCTTGGAGCCCTTCAACTGGAAGATGGCAGGTACAGTGAAATATTTCTGCACTCAAGTTGCTCATACTTTGAAGCATGCAATGAAATTAATAAAGCAATGGTACGTAATTGATGGGTAGTTTTGTCCTATGGGTTTATCCTGTCTTGAACTTGAGAATTCAAGCTTTGCTTACTTGGGATCTTTGCCTGTGATTAAGACAGATTTAGTTTTTTGTAAAACAAATTATTGATCCCCATACTGTGGGTGATGTTCTCATCCACTGTCTTGCTTTCGTGTATCTTTTGTTTAGTTGTTAGATTTTTGTTTACTCCCCCTCCAAAATTTGACTTGTGTGGTGTAGTTTGTGGCAAGTCTTTATTACTGTTATCCAAATGAATCTTTCCTTTGAGATTTTATGGTTATGGCCAAATTGGCATGGAAATAACTAATTCTAATATTGATCATTAACTATATGTATAAACTTGTTAGTGGGACCAGGAGTGTTGTCATTTCCATTCTACTTTTTCCACAGCCGTGATGGGGAGATGCCGATTTTGGACTGGGCTGGACACCAACCGCAATCTTTCAGAGCTCAGCTCTTCCACTACGCCCGAGGAAAGAGCTGAGCTATGAAAGCTTGTGTTTTCAAATAAACCTGTTGGACTATAACCTGGTGTCAGGTGACTTTTGACTTTTTTTCACAGCAACACAGATGAAAACCCATTCTCTGTATTGAAGCAAATTGTTGAATGCAACTAAAACTCAGGGATTGAAGGGTTAGTCTTGGGGTATTTAAAATTCAGTTCGCCAACTGGTGTGATATTTACCTCCTGAAATATTAGGGAGCCATAGTTCCATTTGAGCACTGAATTTATTCTTGACATCATAATTCATGATACGATTGTAGAAAATGGTTAAAATTGCTTTTGTGGAATTTAATGCATTTACTTAATTGCAAAATATATCTTTAAAGATTTAGTAATGATTATTGAAAGTGTCCTAATTAAAAAGCAAATTGGAATTGTAAAACTGATGCATTTGTGAAACTTAAAAAAAAAAAGAAAACCTGACCAGGATTTTCATTGGGTGCCAAGTCTGGACTTTTTGGGGGCTGGCTATGCAATTCACAATATAAGAGGCTGTGTCAGGATTTCTCTGGGTTTTGAATTTTCAACTGCCTGCAGGGTTTTGGGGTGGAGGGAACAGGAAAGGCATCTCCCTCCAATTAACAACAGTTCCTTAAGCACCTCCAAAGGGCAGTCTGAAATAGAGTATAAGTTGTCAATTTTTCCTGACACGCCAAGTAGTTTTGTGCACTTAGTGGAGAGTTATCTGGTTCATTGCACAGATCAGATAATTTGATTTGAACATCTCCTTAAAGTTAATAAATAAAACTGATGTGCATTGCTGTTATTCATCCATGGCCATCTTCTGTATTGCAGCGTAAAGGGCTGCCTGTTCTAATTGGTAAGGTGGGACAGCAGATCTCAACAGGGCTGCTGATGTCACCCCACCCCTCCCCTTCAAGCACTGAGCATACTTCCTGCCTCCAAGCCGGCCAGACTTTTTGCATTTGAAATTAGCATTATAAATGCAATGCAACTCGGACCCACGGTCAGAACCTGGATTTGGCAGGATGTCACATTATAAATAAAAGCAAAATACTGCATATGCTTGGAATCTGAAACAACTCAAAATGTTAATTCTCTCCACAGATGCTGCCACAGAAGCAGCATGGTGGTGCAATAGTTAACACTGCTACCTCACACCACCAGGGACCCAGGTTTGATTCCAGACTTGGGTGGCTATGTAGAGTCTGCCCTTCCTCCCTGAATCTGCGTGGGTTTCTGTCAGGTACTCTGGTTTCCTCCTACAATCCAAAGATGTGCAGGTTAGGTGGATTGGCTATGCTAAGTTTCCCTGTAGTGTCCAGTGATATGCAGGCTAGGTAGGGAAAGTGCAAGGTTACAGGGATAGGATGAGGGGCTGGGCTTGGTGGGATGCCATTCACAGGGTTGTTGTCGGCTCAATCGGCAGAATGGCCTCTGTCAGCACTCTAGGGATTCTATGACCACCTGAGTTTCTCTCACATGGTATTTGTGTCACATTCCCAACCCTGCATTAAAAATCTGATCCTTTGTTCTCAGCATCTCAAAATTTATTTTCACACTGAAGATTGAAATGACTGTTAGAATCACCAGATGTGTTTACCATGTCTAGATAGTTGCTGCAGTATTTATTGTTACGTAATTTTTAGTAAAATTAATTGAGATGGCTTCCTGTTTTTCTTTGTCTTGCAGTTTCTATGCAGTGCCAGAAGGAAGTGAAAATGACATGAGATTTGTGTATTGTGCCACTTGTATCTGCTATATGCTTAATGATTGGTCAGGAATGAATACACAGAAAGCCATAGAATATATTAGGAAAAGCATGGTAAGTGACAAAAGAGAAGAAAATGAGATCTCTCACCTGAATACATCATTTGAGTTATTAAACTTTTGTTTTTGTTCTACTGAATGGTTTGTATACTTGTAGTTCTCGAAACGTGAACATGAAATTTTCCTTAGTAGCATTTGTTGTACAAATGGCAGCTAAAGTTCTTCTGAGGATCTTTTTTTAATTTCTGAAACTGGATTAACTTTTTAAATATGGTAATACTGGCAAATAATGGAGGCAGATGCTTGTCTTTTGATGTTCATTGATTTGAAAATTACCCAGCAGAAAATGTAATTACAGACAACAAAATCAAACATACCACAATCTTCCTGGTGACATTTTAACAGCTGCTGCAGGTTGTGCCTTGTGACTTTGTTTACACTGCACCTTTAATAAAAATGTTTGTGTTCGTTCAACTAGCAATTAAATACAATGTATTTTGGTTGCTTGAGTCAATTTAGTAGTGTTTTGAAAATGACTTCATTGAAATTATTTTTCATTGTTATGAAAAGGTTGTTAAAAACCTTTTTTGATGCAATGCCTCTCATTTAAACAATTTTTTTAAACTGTTTGAGTATCAGGTACCAGTAATCAAATACTGGGCATAGTGCTATAAAATAAAAACTCATCCTACAATACCTATGTTAATCCAGCATTTGGGATAATGTTTTTCAAGGTCATATCTTACAATTTGTTCTAATTGTGAGCAAAATGAGTGTACTATGATAATTGAAACTGAAGAAATGGTAAAATTGCATACAGGTAGTTCTCCCTTAACACGATTGGTTGTGTTCTTGTGTGACCTGGCGCTATAGAAACTCGGGTTATAGGGAGATCAGTATAGAAAATCGCTATGCCTGTACAGGAGAAAGTTCGCGTTATCCAAACAGCATCCACTATTCATCAATCACGTTATAGCCAATTCGCATTAATGAAACATGTGTTATAGCAGAACTGTGTACTCATTTTTTAATAAAGTTAACTAACAGTAATTGACTAATTCATAGGAAACTCCAACTTGGTTTCACAATTTTGTAATAATGTGGCAAGTATGGATTTTGTATAAATACAGGAAACTGTTTTTAAATTAATGCATTTGTCCTGGAGATGCCTGATGTAAATTGTGCTTTGTGCTTTAATGCAGTCAACTTTGTAACCTGAGAGCTTTTACCTTTCAGTAGTTTGAAAAGTACTGAATGTTGAGGCAGCAGCTCAAATACAGTAAAAATTTCCAGCACAGAACCATACCTATTTCAGTCATGCACCAGAACACATTGCTTGTTAATATCATGATATATTGGTCTTTTAGATAATGCAGAGTGTTCTACGAAGAAGTGTCCTGGGGCAGTATTCTTGTTTAGGTGTTCATTGCGGGGCTAATGCAGAGAAGGTGCAGCCTCTGGTTCTGCTGGCAACCATGGGGTTTTGTTTAATCCACTTTAAAAGTGGGTTTTTTTGAAGACAGTTGTTTCAGGCTAGGACTTTTTTTATAAAAAAAAAAAAAGTGATTTTCTTTTATTTTGCCTTTTGGTGAGCGTATCAAGTGGCAATTGAAGAAAACATGAAGTGCTTATGACATTGCAATTGACATATAGCTGGAGTCTGAAATCCTGTGGAAGAAGTCACCAACTGAGTTAAAGCTTATGACGTTAAGAGAGTTCTTGCACATTCCTTTTTTTTTTAAACTCCATAGAAGTTAAAGTTTTTAATTGGAGTAAGGCAAGTTTTAATGGTATGAGACAAGAACGTTCAAAAGTTGATTGGCATAGACTGTTGGTAGATAAAAGAACATCTGACAAGTGGGAGGCATTAAGGAGTGTGATGACTAGAGTTCAGAGGCATTATGTTCCTGTTAGAGTGAAGTGTAAGGCTGTTAAGATTAAGGAACAATGGATGAATAAAGATTTTAAGTTTCTAGTCAGGAATAAGAGAATCTTATTTTCGATATTTTTGGTTCAATTGAATCTCTTAATATAGAGTGTAGGGGCATTCTTAAGGAGGAAATCAGAAAGGCAAAGAGGGGATATGAGAGTGCATTGGCAGGTAACCATGTGGTTGAACTGGGGTGGACAAGGTCAAAAATCTCAACACCAGGATATAGTCCAACTGGTTTATTTGAAGACAAGCTTTCAGTCTCCCTCCTTCTTTAGGTGTTAGCGAGAGAGGTGGCATTGAAAAGCTTGTGTCTTCAAATAAACCATTTGGACTATAACCTGGTGTCATGTGATTTTTTGACCTTGTCCACCCCAGTCCAACCCTGCTCTAAATCATGGCTACCGTCGACATCATAAACCACCGGCTCAAAGTGGGGAGGATTTCCAAGAAGATCGCGCGAATTGACACAGCCATAAAGTTTCTACAGAAATGTAAGAAAGCAGAAAAGATCCCAAAAGGACTACCGATCACAAGCCCACTCAAGTCGAAACCTTTAGTTGTCTCGGGGCAGTGACTTGCAAATTCCTGAAATTTTCTTCATGTTGATCCTTTCTAACTGATTAAAGATTTAATAGCCGTCTTGGGTTTGTTCAACACCGCATCAGTTCAATGACCCTTTGATCTTTTGATTTATAAATTGTGTCCAATGCCAACTCCCTCACTGACACATGAGGAAGAAGGAATGAGACTCCAAAAGCTTGTGTCTTCAAATAAACCTGTTGGACTATAACTGGTGTTGTGATTTTTGACATTGGATTATCCTTAACCTTACCTGTCAAGGAGATTCTACAAATACATTAAGAGCAGTGTTTAAAAGACATTTGGATAGATACATGAATAGGAAAGGTTTGGAGGGATATGGGCCAGGACCAGGCAGGTAGAATTAAGTTTAGTTTGGGATTATGTTTTGGTTGGACCGAAGGGTCTGTTTCAATGCTGTATGATTCTGACTCTCTAACTCGGGAAAAGTTAAAAGGATTAAAACTTCCTTTAGCACTTGGGTAAGTACAAAATTGTTCACCACCACCACCACCACCGCAAAGACTCATCACTGTAACTAATGACCTCTACAGTATGAGACCTCCCACTCCCACAGCTAACTCCTGCCTGGCTCACCATAATCCGACACCCACTTGCTAATCTATCCCTTTCCTGCTTACCCCAAACAGCTTCCCTATAATCATTTACCAAGAATTGCCAAATTGTTTTTCTTATTCAGCATTCAGTTACACTTAGGTTTATTAAATTACTGTGCCATTAGTGTTCTAAATAAATATTAAAAATGTACAATTGGTCACTAATAATGACAACTTATTATTTTCACTTAAAGATTTTGTCATACACTAGAGGTTTCCTTAAACTTGCCTTGCAGTGTAAATCATTCTACACTCACTTTGAACAGGCGGTCAGTGAAAGTGTCACTTATCCCAGCGGCCTTTGATGCACATGTACCCAAGGTTACTGCCGCAAATATTAGATCAGCGTTCTTGAGTGAACCTATGGAAAGCGACTGGCCCGGATGGAGTACCTGGCTTTGCACTCGGATCCTGTGCGGACCAGCTGGCAGGCGTACTCGCAGACATCTTTAACCTCTTCTTACTTTGATTTAGAGTCCCCACCTGCTTCAAGAAGACCACAATCATCACCGTTCTAAAGAAAAATCATGCATGGTGCCTCAATGACTACTATCTTGTGGCTCTGACCTCAAATTATGAAGTGCATCGAGAGGTTAGTCATGTCTCGCATCAACTCCAGCCTAGCAAAATGCCTTGATCCTTTGCAATTCGCCTTCTGGCACAGCAGGTCCTCAAGACACCATCTCCCTGGCCCTACGTTTGTCACTGGAAAATTTGGATAACAAGGATACCTACATCAGGCTCCTACATATTGACTGCAGTTCCACTTTCATCACCATTTTTCCAAACAAAGTCGTCTCTACACTGAGACCTGGGTCTCAGCTCCCCGCTCTGTGACTGGATCCTCGACTTCCTGACCATAGACTGAAATCACTAAGAATAGGTGACAGCACCACCTCCACCATAGTTGTCAACACCGGTGTCTCTCCAGACTGAAACTAAACCCCCTACTGTACTCGTACACTTGTGGCTGTGGCCAAATTCCACTGAACTCTCTTTACAAGTTTGATACCACGGTTGTAGAACGGGGTCTCAAACAACGATGAGACAGAAGACCGGAAAGAGAGTGAGTGCTTAGCAGCATGGTGGAAAAACGACAATCTCTCCAATGTCAGCAAAATGAAAGAACTGGTCATTGACTTCACGGGTGGAGTAGAGGGCATACCCCTGTCTGTATCAATAGTGCTGATGTCGAGTTCCTGGGAATGATTATTATCAGCAGTCTGTCCTGATCCACCCACATTGATGTGACGGTCAAGAAAGCACACCAACGTCTACTTCTCAGGAGGCTAAAGAAGTTGGGCATGTCCACAAGGATAGTTAACTTTTTTTGCACCATTGAAGGCATCCTATTTGTGTGCATCTAAGTGTGGTATAGCAACTGTTCCTTTCAAGACCCTAAGAAACAAGAGTTGTGAGCACAGCCCAGTCCATCATGCAAACCAGCCTTCTATCTGTACTTGCTGCTGCCTCGAGGAAAGCAACCAACATAATCAAAGACCCCTTCCACTCCAGTTATGCTCTCTTCCACCCTATTAAGTCAGGCAGAAGAAATAAATACTTGAATCCCTGCTGTTATCAGATTTCTGAATGGACCTCTCAAATGTTAATTCTGATCTCGGTCTGTACCTTCTTTGTGGCTGGAACACTATTCTGTACTCTGTTCTGCTACCTTGATGCACTTTGTATGATACGATCTGCCTATAAGATGCAAAACACTTTTCATTGTATCTTGGTACATGTGATAACACAAAGCAAGCAAATCTTTTTTTTTTTAGTGGCTGACTTCCCCCAAGAGCGTTCCCACCACCTCTGATATCCCATGAGGCCATGACTTCACTTCCCAGTTGGTGTTAGTGTCTACCCACTTTCCTGTGCTGGAGGCTTCAGGAACTGGTCAGCCAACATCGGATAAGTGGGCACTAT